TGCCTACATCTGAGGTCTAGCCTCTCGACTTACAGTCCAGAGCCCCGAGCAGCAGCCTAGTTCCCTGAGTTTGAAAACATCCCTCTCTTAGACTGACTCAGAGGCTCTGCCCTGCTGCTCCCCAGGCGAAGAAACATGTGGGCAGCTGGGCCACACCCAGCAGGGAGGTTTATGTTCAGGGCTGTATCACTGTGAGGGAGTATGTCTCGCTTGCTGGCAGTGATAAACTCCAACATCTTCAGCCTCCACTCTGCTGATCTTCAGTGTGAAATCTGTCCCTGATCCACTGCCACTAAACCTATCTGAGACCCCAGAGACATGACTGGAAACCTTATAAATGAGGAGCTGTGGAAACTGGCCTGGCTTTTGCACATACCAACTCAAATAGGTGTTTCCGTCAGTATGCAGGAGACTATGACTAGACCTGCAGGAGATGGAGGCCGGCTCTCCAGGCATGACGGTCAGGGAGAGAGGAGTCTGGGTCAACACGACATCGCCACTGGATCCTGACATAGTAAGAGAGACGTGCAAGGTCATACACAAACACTGAGCCATTTTCATGATTTCCTTTCTGTTGTTTATTTCAGGCTAAATAATTTTGTGTATGTGTGATTTTTATCCAAGCCATCCAATTTCAAAAGAGAGCCCAAGATATGCAAGGCACAAAGGGGCCCCTACACCATCTAATCTTCCTGTGCTAGAGTCTTCCTCAGAGCATAGGTCTTTGTTCCTTCTGGAATCTTCCTCACTTTCCCGTCACATACCCCATTTTGGAGAACAACACTGGCATACCTAACACATGCACAGAATACACGGGAAGCAGTGAGGCCCCCAGAGCTCACCATTCCACCCCGTTCTCCTTCATCTCCCTTCTGCCCTTACCAGGGATCCAGAGCATTAGCAGTCCCAAGAGCTGAGCACAGAGCCTCATGTTGAGAAGCTTAACTGAGGAGTCTTGATCAGTCAAGGCAAGAGCAGAGCTGAATTTTTACCTCCCCAGAGGGCCATATGCAAATCCTCTGGTGAGTGCAGCAGTGTGAAAAAAGTCAAAGGGAGAGTGGAGACCTCTCAAGACCAAAATGACTTAAGTTATCTTCTTTGTTTAGAGAGAAACCAATCGAGATAAAAATCTTTGCTAAGTTTGATCAATTTAAGGTTTTTTTTTAAATTCTGTTTTCTCTAACAGTTTCCTATTTTCTTAGCATTTTCTGAGGCACACTTTATATTTCTATTTAATAAGGTTGAGTTTCCAAAATATTTCATAGTTCTTATTCTTTTATTTCTTTAAAAGAAGCCATACTTGACCTTTTCCATTTTTTAATTGAGATAAAGTGTATGTCGTGGTCCAGCCAGATGACAGAGTGGTTTAAGTCTGCTGGATTCCACATAGCTGAGCACACAGTTCAAGTCCTGGACCTGGTGACTTGAAGAATAAGCTTGGGTGTGTGCATGCATGCTCAAAATCCTGAGAAGAAAAGGGAAAAGGCAGGATTGCAGCCTGGTCACCCATTCTTGGGGGTGAATTCTCATTTTTTATCTCTGATGAACACGTGTGTGTGTGTGTGTGTGTGTGTGTGTGTGTGTTTATGTATGTGTGTGCATACACACACACACATACACGCACATATATATGTGTGTGTGCACGTTGGGTAAAAATTAGAAAACCTTAAGTATGCATCCAAATAATTTTTATGTGCATTCACTATCCAAATGGAACTATAGAATTTTCTTATTTCTTGATAATCTCCCCATGCACCTTCCTAATTAATAGCTGCTCCTCTTAATTCAACCATAGTAGCTATCATTCATTCTGACATCTATCATAATAGTTAAGTTTTCCCTGGACTAGAACTTAATATAAACATAAGCAGGCACTTTTGTTTGTTTATTTCTAGGTCCTTTCTTGTTTGTTTACTATTTTTGAGGCCTTCATTTCTTCCCATGGGTTTGAATTCCTTTCTGCTTTTATTTCCTGGGATTCTGAAGTATTACACCTTAAATTTCTTACAGGGAGTAAGTCTGCAAGTAGTCATTTCTCTTCATTTTTGTTTATCAAGAAATTTTGAGGAGAGGGAGACCAGACAGTGGTGGGCAGTAATAGCCCAACTGGGTTCACATGGGAAGGACCTAGGTTCATGTCCCAGAACCTCACTGAGCATGACCAGCATATTTGCCCATGATCCAGGATAGCTGTGACTGGGGGTGGAGAGTGATGTGAAAACCCTGTTGAGGGTTCCTGCCTCTCTCCTGCTCATGGAATAAATAAATAAATAAATAATACAATAAATAAAAACATTTTAAGAAGGCATTTACTTTGCCTTTATTTTTGTAAAATACTCACTGATATTGAATTCCTAATTGAGTTTTCTTTCTTTTACCATTTAGTTACATCATTTCACTGCTAGCCTCCATTGATCATGATGAAAGTCAGCCAGTGACCTTCTAATTGTTTCCCCACACACAGTGAGTCTTTTTTTTTTTTTTTTTTTTTTTTGGTGCATTTTAGACTTCCTCTTGTTTTTTGGCTCAGTGTTTTTTGTTTGTTTGTTTGCTTGCTTGCTTGCTTTGGAGAGGTTTTTACTATAGGGCACACACACTCACCAGAAAGACAAAGAGAGACAGAGTGTCAGAACGTAAGAATTCACCCCCCCAGGGGGGATGGCCACACCACAATCCCTTCCCCTCCATTCTCCTCTCGAGATCTTGGTCATGCATGCACACACTCCTGGCATGAGTTTAAGCCACCAGATCCGGGACTTGAACCACAGTTGATTACATGGGATTTCAGCGACATAGCCATTACACCAACTGCTGGTCTCATTGGCTTAGTGTTTTAATTATAATGGATATGATAGAAATATTGTCATGTATATCCCGAAGAAGCTTCATTAATTTCTTTGATCTGGAGATGCATGTGTTTTATTACATTGAAAATATTTTGCCATTATCTCTACAAATATCTTTTCTTGAACAATTTCTCTCTTCTCTTTGGTAACTTCCATTATGCTTTGGTCAATGTTTTTCACATCAACATATTAATCTCAGAGGTTTTTGATCATTTTCTATTTTTTTATAGAGATATTTTTGCTATAGGGGACATGTGCTCACCAGAGAGACAAAGAAAGAGAAGGAGAAGACTAGAAATCAACCCCTCCCCCCCAGAGAGGATGGCCAGGCCATAATTTCCTCTACTCCATTGTCCTTTTAAAATTTTGGGCATGCATACACACACTCTTGGCATGAGTTTCAAATCAGCAGGTCTGAGCCTCAAGCTGTAGTCGACTACGTGGGATTCCCAGCAATGTAACCATTATGCAATCTGCTGGTCCCTATTTTTTCTTTTTTTATATTAAATAATTTCTATTGATTTGTCTTCAAGTTATTCTCCTGCCAAATTAAACCACTATTGGTCTATCTAGTAAACTTTTTTATTATATTATTTTAATATGTAGCTCTAGAATTCTTATTTTGTCCTTTTTATAGTTACTCTTTCTCTATTGAGTCCCTATTTGTTGAGCCATTGTCTTTATCTTTTCCTTTGTCAGTTTTAAATCACCATGTCTGTGGCTTGGTGTTTAAGGCAACCAGATCTCACATGGCTGGCTATATGGATTTTAGTCCCAGACCTGGCCACGTGAGAAACATGCCTGACAAATGTTCATGTGTGCCCAAAATCCTGAAAATAGGGAGAGATGAAGGAGAAGGGATTGCAATGTGACTATTCCCTCTAGAGGATGCTTTCTCTTCTCTGTTTCAACTACTTCTGTAATTCATTCAAAAAGAAGGCATTTCAAGCACCAATCAAAGCACAAAGATGTTATAGATTATCTAGGAGTGTGCTCAATCAAAACTCAGTAACTAAAGATGTTCCTCTGTCTGTTTATCTTCCTATTTGTCTGTCTCTGCTAAGCACTAGCACCTTCTGGGGGGAAGAAAAAAATAGACAAAGAAAACTTTTTGAACAATCTATGTAAAAACTGCTTTAAAACCTTTGCTAAATACAATATTTAGGAAGAGTCAATCAGTTTCCATTGACTATTTTTTCCCCTCAATATGGTTTGCATTTTCCTGCTTCTATGCAGGAGTTTAATTAATTTATTTTTTAATGGAAAACTGAACATTTTAGATAATATGCACTTATATCTCTTTCAAATAATATGGAATTCCATTTCCTATTTTATTTTCTAAGCATTATTAAGTTTTTTTTAGTAATATGCTTTGACTTATTGATAAAATGCATAAATTGGGGCCAGCAGGTAGAGTAGTAGTTAAGATGCCCAGCATGGCCAACTGTGGTTTGAGTTCCACACCTGGTGACTTGAAACTCATAGCAGGCATGTGTACCCAAAACATATAAATCTATCTCCTACTTGGTATTGATCACTGATAAATCTGCTCTTTTTAAATTATTTTAAATTTTTAGTTAGGACCTGCCCATTTGGCTGTGTAGCATTGTACTCACCAATGACGTGAGCAGACATATGCTCAAACACTTTGATTAAATCATCTTAGTTTATTCCTGTTACTATAACAAAATGCATTAGACTAGATAATTTATAAACAATATAAATTTATTTCTCACAGATATGGAGACTAAGTAATCCAAGATCAAGGCATGGGTAGATTAAGTGTCTGGTGAGGACCTCTTCCTCTTTAATGGCACCTTCTCTGTGACCTTACATGGAAGCAGGACAAACAGGGACCAACAGACTCCCTAATGCCCTATTACAAAGGCACTAATCCCATTCATTAGGGTAGAGCTCTATGACCTAATTATCTCTTAAAGGCTTCACCCTTTTAATACTATTGCACTGAAGATTAAGTTTCAACAGAAATTTAGGAAGGACACAAACATTCAAAACATAAAAATTTTCTCTGTAGTTTAGTTTGAAAATTTACTGTACAAAATGTTTTCATTTATATTGAGGGGGATGATTTCTCGCTTTCAATCTCTCTGTTGCTTTCTGTCTTTCTGTTGAGTGCACGCACCCTATAGAAAAACCTCTCCAAAACTTTTTCATCTATAAATTATGATAGGTTTAATTATTTCTAATTTTTTTTTCTTTCTGTCACTGATGCCTATTGCACTGAGCACAACAGATATTTAAAAGCATTCTGTCATAGGAGTCTGAATTCTGTTGTCAGTTAAATTGTACCTGAACCTGGTTGTGCAACTAAACTTGAGGGAAAACCCAGGAGTCTCAGTCAAAACTCTGACAGTAAGTTACTTTTTAGAACCTCAAAATTTCCAAAGAGAGGCAGAGACGCTAAAACTGTGCAGCACCCACAGCAGGTGCACATAAAGGAAGCAGCTGGTATAAGTGAAAACACCAATGGTCTCACAGAGGTTTTTGTTTCACACTGAATCACTGTGGGCTACCCGCTGTAATACTGATAACAGTAATACAGTGCCAAATCTTCAGGCTCCAGGCTGCTGATGGTGAGAGTGAAGTCTGTCCCAGAACCACTGCCGCTGAACCGGTCTGGCATTCCGGAGGCCCTGGTGGATGCACCATAGATGAGGAGCCTGGGAGCCTGTCCAGGTTTCTGCTGGTACCAGGCCACGTAGTTGCTAATACCCTGACTGGCCCGGCAGGTAAGACTGGCTCTTTCTCCTGGAGACAATGACAGGGAGGCTGGAGTCTGCGTCAACACAGCTTCTCCCATGGTACCTGAGATTGGAAATAAAATGTAAGGGTCAATCGTGCAATCTCTATCACACCCATTGTCTTCCCAGTAGAGCCAGCATTGTCTATCTGAATTTTAATTACTGTGACTGCAGGATAGAGGCAACAGGTCACAGGATCTGATAGCATCATGAGAATTGTCACATATGTGCAGAACCACCCATGGAACCCTCACCTGTGAGCCAGAGTGAAAGAAAGCAGAGAAGCTGAACTGGGGCTTCCATGATTCACTCTAAATCCTCACTGAGACAGCCCTTCCCCAGAGCTCTGCCCCAGGCCTTGATATGGGCTCTGCACAGCAGGGCATGCTGGGAGGGACATGCAAAGCAGCTGGAGTGGGGCAAACTGAGCTACCATCTGCAGATCCCATCTCCCTCCCCTTCTCTGCACTGGAGCAGAGCATGCCCAGGTGGTCAAGTCCGAAAAGTATTTAGTACAATCCTGCTGGGAATGAAATAGAAGCCTGTGCTCCCTTTGCTCTTATCTTCCCCCAAAGTGCCTCAGTGTCTCCCTCGGTACATGATTGCACCTGATTAAAGTGAGTCATTGATCAGAACTTTGTCTTCCAGACATGCCTCTCCTTTACGGCATAGCGATCTTTCCTAAGGATGCTGAAGCTACCTCAGTCTTTGTAAGAATTAGTAAAAGGCCACACCCAATTAGCCCCAGCAATGTGGGCACCAAGACATGCAAGGCTGAGCAAGACCCAGGCTCAGGCCCCTCAGGGTACTGATACCATTTCCCCAAGGACAGCAGATGGCATTGTCACCAGGCAAGGAACTGTTACCCCTGGGGTGGTCCTCTACTCTACCCACTGCTCCATCTGTACCACACAGCCATCTAGCCAGACTCAGGCCTCCTCTCTTGAATAATTTGGGAAACCTAAGTTCACATTCCTGACCTAGACAAGAATTCAGTCTGAGGTTTTCTAGGGTGTCCCAGAAAGTCACACCCATGATGGTGAGCGCTTGGTCTAGAACCTTCCCTGCGAAGGCTGGCAGCTCTTTGGGTAAATTCCCAGTTCTGATCCTCACTTCCTCTACCTCTGCTGTCTTCCCTTAAGCAGTTAAACTCTTTTCTTTCTCAAATTGTCTCTACCTCCAGCTTCTCTCCCAGGCCAGATTCAAGGCCTCAGTGAAGAAGACCCAGATCTGTCCTACTCAGGTGCAATTCATTCTGACTAAGATTCATTCTGACTAAAGGACAACATGCTCTCAGGTATGAACACAAACAGGTGATACATGGGCTGCCTCGGCCCACAACCAGGAGACTACTGCATGAATTTCTGGGAGCAACAGAATTCCGTAAAATTTGGATCAACTCAAATGTTCTTTTAAGTTATGTACCTGCCTTCTTGGCCATTCTGAGGCCAATTCACTTTGTGTGTGCCTTTATGAGGCACAAAAGATCCAGATAATCAAGAAGCGATGTGCCCAGTGTTCCACACTCCCCGTGAGGATGGCAGGTGGGAGAGGGGTGGTGGTCCTGTCTCACAGACAAGGACATTAGGTAAAAGCTGCAACAAGAAAGGTGCCAGGTATTTCAGGTGGAGTATAAGGCCTGGGGCAGGCAGGTAAGCAGAAGCTAGCTGGCTCTGAGGATGGGTCAGTGACTGGAACTTGAGTGTGGTGGAGCGTGTGGTATGGAGTGTGGCACATAGGAACGTAAGAGCAGCAGAAAGGAGCCAGGCAGTGTCAGTTTTATATGACATGCTAAAGATTAGGTTCATTTCAGAAGAGTTTGAACCTAGATGAAATTTTCATATTTGGTAGTCTTTTGGGCCAAAAGCCTGGTGCTTTTTCATTGGTTGTTGATATGAGATTCTAGCTCTTCAAACACTAACCTGCTTGTTGCACACATCACTCCTCCTCGCCACCTGCCCATGACCCATGATTATGAGATCACAAACCACAAGCACCAAAGCCAGGTGCAGATAGAGGTGTGAATAAGCTACTCCACCCCGGGCCCAGGATCACCCATTAGCTCCATGATATGTCCCTGGCTGCCCAACTCTCAGACCACCCAATTGAAATACATGCCCAACACTATGACAAGTTAGTTTCCCCAACTCTGGTTGCTTCAGCTCATCCTTCAGGTCTCAGTTGCAGCATCCTTCCTCAGAAATGTCTTCCTTCAGTCCACACAGTGCCAACTCATCCCTCCTTCACCTTGCTCATTCTTCACGTGGATGGTAGCACCATTCACAATTTGATCTTGAAGTGGGCCACTGGTCAGGTCATCCCTTCTCTCCAGACTTCCTCTGTTCCTTGATGGCTAGGAGTGAGCCTGGTTTCTGGCACAGAATAGCTCCCAAGCATGTGTTTTTATCAGATAAATATCTAAAGTTGCCACTCTGAATCATTGTGAATAAAGTCAAGAAATCTGGTGTTTCAGGCTGCTGGGTTTTGCAGAGTAGAATAAATTTTGTTAACACTTGGAATTTCTAAAATAAATATATATTTATTCATATATTTGGAAACAGCTGATTCTGGTCCAACCCTTTCAATTTACAGTGTGGAAAATGAAACCCAGACAATGGCCTGGGAACACAGGACTAAAGGGGCAGAGCTGGGAAGTAACCCAAGTATCTTCACTACCAATTAGCAAAGAGGGAATTTACTGAGGCCTTTGGGTTGGGAATTGCTATGATTAGATAATGGTTTGTCTCCCGACAATCCATGTGCTGAAATTTGGTCACTAATACAAAGGCACTGAGAGGTGGTTAGGCCTTAAGAGAAAGACCTGTCTTCAACGTGGGAAGGCTCCGTCCAATCAGCTGGGAGTGTGGGTGAAACAAGCAGGAAGTGAGAAAGTCTCTTTCCTCTTCATTATCTCTCTGTCTCTCTCTCCTCTCTCTCTCTCCATGTGGTTGCTGACCTCTTTGCATCTCTGTGCTGTATTGTGATAGTACCAGAGACTGACCAGACGGAGGGCCCATGGTTTTGGACTTCCAGCCACCAGAATCAGCCACCCAATAAACCTCTATTCTTTATAGGTCACCAGTCTCAGGTACTGTTTAGCAACACAATAATGGACTAACCCAGACACTTACACTAACCTGTTAGCAAAGAAAGAACATCATTTTTTGCTATGGATTAAATATTTATGTCCCCCCCATATTTACATGTGTAATTCCTCACCTTCTAATACCATCACCATTCCAAGATGAGATCTTTGAAAAGTGATTAAGTCATTGGGTGAGGTACTCATGAAGGGGGTAGTGCCCTTGTAAGGGGCGAGAGACATGGCCCATTCCAGCAGGTGAATACATAGCTAGAAGCCATAGCCTGTCTTGGTCTGTTTGGGCTGATAAAAGAAATTTTTGTATTCTCAGTGGCTCATAAATAACGTTTTACTTGCTCTGAAGTCAGAACTCCCAGATCATGGCATGGGAAGATGGTGTGTGGTGAGGGCTCATAAATGGCAGCTTCTCTCTGTGTCCTCACCTGTAGAAGAGGTAAGCTAGTTCTCTGGGATACATTTCTCATTCATGAACGTTCTGCCCTCATGACACAGTCACTTCCTAAAGGCCTGACCTTCTAACACCATCACCTTGAAGGTTAAGATGTATGTTTTAGGGGGATAAACACATTCAAATTACAGTCATCTACATGGAAGAGGTCCTTACCAGACAGGCAAGATATGTTGGTACCTTGATCTTGAACTTCCCATAACTGTGAGAACTACACAGTTTACAAGCCATTCAGATCATGGCATTTTGTCATGGGAACCCAGATGGACCCAGACACTTTTCAGATGAGGATGCCAGCCTTTTGACTTATCTATACAATACAAGCACTTTTATGAATTTGAGATAGGCCACCATTCTCTCTTGAAATCCCTCCCTGCGCACACATCACCATGTGTGTACACACACAATGGTCAGGAGCCTGGGGTACCACTCATTGAAGTCCAACCACAGAAACTAGGAACTAGAATGTCCATACATTTTCGAAGGAAATCCATGCCTAGTCTAGATCAGGAGACAAATTGGAGGGTCTGGTGAACTGATAATAAAGCCTCATGGGTTCATTTCAGAGACCCCAGGCCAATGTGAGCTGTAGAGCACCCCTGCCCTAACATGGCGCTGAGAGCACCCAGACCTCTACACAAACAAGCCCATATTTGGTTATCGTTCCTGTTCCGGAACGCGTAGGCACTGCCTCCGCCTATCAGTGCTTGCCTGGTGGCAAAAGAGGACTGGTTCGCGGGACGGATATATAGGGAGCCTGGGTGGGCTGAGAGGAGAGAAGGCTGCGGAGAAAGAAGGAGGGAGGGAGAAGGCTGGGGAGAATGGAGGAAGGAGGAAGAAGAAGACTGTAAGAAGCCTGGGGTAAGAGTTCTGGAGAAGACCTTGTCAGCGTCATCGTTTGAAGCGACAACTGGTGGCCCGTACGGGGACTACTTCTCCCTCTGCTCGAAGGTCAGAACTCCAATGCTCCAGGGCAGCCGGCTGGTAAGCCTCGAAAGGTGGGGAGGCTTAACGGTAACTGTTTAAAGTCCTCGGAAAAAAGATGATAGGCTCCCGTGAAGAGGGAGGTCTAGGGCTCCCGTGAAGAGGGAGGTCTAGGGCTCCCGTGAAGAGGGAGGTCTAGGGCTCCCGTGAAGAGGGAGGTCTAGGGCTCCCGTGAAGAGGGAGGTCTAGGGCTCCCGTGAAGAGGGAGGTCTAGGGCTCCCGTGAAGAGGGAGGTCTAGGGCTCCCGTGAAGAGGGAGGTCTAGGGCTCCCGTGAAGAGGGAGGTCTAGGGCTCCCGTGAAGAGGGAGGTCTAGGGCTCCCGTGAAGAGGGAGGTCTAGGGCTCCCGTGAAGAGGGAGGTCTAGGGCTCCCGTGAAGAGGGAGGTCTAGGGCTCCCGTGAAGAGGGAGGTCTAGGGCTCCCGTGAAGAGGGAGGTCTAGGGCTCCCGTGAAGAGGGAGGTCTAGGGCTCCCGTGAAGAGGGAGGTCTAGGGCTCCCGTGAAGAGGGAGGTCTAGGGCTCCCGTGAAGAGGGAGGTCTAGGGCTCCCGTGAAGAGGGAGGTCTAGGGCTCCCGTGAAGAGGGAGGTCTAGGGCTCCCGTGAAGAGGGAGGTCTAGGGCTCCCGTGAAGAGGGAGGTCTAGGGCTCCCGTGAAGAGGGAGGTCTAGGGCTCCCGTGAAGAGGGAGGTCTAGGGCTCCCGTGAAGAGGGAGGTCTAGGGCTCCCGTGAAGAGGGAGGTCTAGGGCTCCCGTGAAGAGGGAGGTCTAGGGCTCCCGTGAAGAGGGAGGTCTAGGGCTCCCGTGAAGAGGGAGGTCTAGGGCTCCCGTGAAGAGGGAGGTCTAGGGCTCCCGTGAAGAGGGAG